AATCAATTTGCATATGTCGAACTATCCCTGTACCCTTGGGATGAAGTCCACTTGATCATGGTGTACAATCTTTTTAATATGTTGTTGTATTTGGTTCACTAATATCTTAGTTAGGATTTTTGCATCTGTGTTCATGAGAGATATTGGTCTGTAGTTTTCTTTTTTTGTGTTATCTTTACCAGGTTTTGGTATCAGAGTGACATCGGCCTCATAAAATGAGTTGGGAATTATTGCCTCCTCTTTGATTTTTTGGAAGAGTTTGAGGAGAATGGGTATTAAATCTTCTTTGAATGTTTGGTAGAATTCCTGGTGAAGCCATCGGGTCCTGGACTTTTACTTTTTGGTAGGTTTTTGATGATTGTTTCAATTTCCATACTGCTGTTCGGTCTATTTAGATTTTCAAGTTCTTCTTGATTCAGTCTAGGAAGGTTATGTTTTTCTAAGTACTTGTCCATTTCTTGTAGGTTATTAAATTTGGTATTGTATAGGTAATTAAGTTTGGTGTTATATATTTTTCATAGTATTCTTGTATGATCCTTTGTATTTCTGTGATATCAGTTGTAATTTCCCCTCTTTCATCCCTAATTTTGTTTATTTGTGTCCTTTCTCTTTTTCCATTAGTGAGGGGTTTGTCAGTTTTATTAACCTTCCCAATGAATCAGCTCTTCATTGCATTTATTTTTGCTATAGTTTTTGTTTATTTGTTTACAATTTGATTTATTTCTGCTCTAGTTTTGATGATTTCTTTTCTTCTGCTGGCTTTAAGCTTCATTTGTTCTTTCTTTTCTAGTTTTTTAAGGTGAAGTGTTAGGTTATTTATTTGGGCACGTTTATGTTTTTGGAGGTAGGTCTATAATGATATGAACTTTCCTCTTTTGATCGCTTTTGACATGTCCCAAAACTTTTGATATGTTGTACTATCATTATCATTCGTTTCTATGTATCTCTTGATCTCTTTATTTTTCTCTGACCCAGTTATTCTTCAGTAGCAAGTTGTTTAATCTTCATTTTTTTGTTTCTTCCTGATTTCCTTTTGCAGTTGATATCTAGGTTCACAGCATTATGATCAGAGAATATAATTGGTAAGATTTCAACCCTCTTATATTTGTTGAGGTTATTTCTGTGTCCCAGTATGTGGTCGATTCTTGAGAATGTCCCTGTGCACTAGAGAAGAATGTATAAGCAGCTGTTTTGGGATGGAAGGCTCTATAAATGTCAATTATGTCCAGATGGACCCAAGTATCATTTAAGGATGTTATTTCCCTATTGATATATATGGATGATCTGTCCATATCCCTACTACAATGGTGTTTTGGTCTGTTTCTCCCTTTAGTTCTGTTAGTAATTGCTCTACGTATTTTGGGGCTCCCTGATTGGCAGCATAGATATTAATAAGTGCTATATCTTCTTGGTGCATGATTCCCTTTATCACTATGAAGTGTTCCTCAGTATCTTTCTTTACCTTTTTTATTTTGAATCTATTTCATCTGATATTAATACTGCTACTCCCGCTTTTCTCTGAATGCCATTTGCTTGAAATATCATTTTTCCCCCTTTCACTTTGAGTCTATATTTGTCTTTAGAGCTGAGATGTGTCTCCTGGAGGCAGCACGTGCTTGGGTTTTGTTTTTTGATCCAATCTGCAACTCTGTGCCTTTTTATTGGTGAGTTCCATCCATTTACATTTAGGATGATAATTGAAATATGAGGTCAATAAAATATAGTTTTATCTTTTGCTTTCTGGTAGCTCGGTGTTTCCATTGCTTCCTTGTCCATGTGTTTCTGTTTTCTTTATTTTGGTTGGCTTTTGAGGTTTTCACCTCTGGTTCTTCCTGTTTCATGTTATATTTTTCAGTTCTGAATCTTTGGTGTGTGGTTACCTTTACAAATGTGTAAAGGATAGTTATATATATACAGTCATCTATTTTCTTCAGCCCATTCCTTATCTCCACTCACCTTTTCGAAATTGGATCTTTGAATCCTCTTCTTTTCAGTCATTGTTGTCTCAATTTGTTCCTATGTATGCTGAATGTTTATTACTATCTTGTTATAACAATTCACTTCTTATTATTTAAGCTATAAAACCCTGCTCTTAATAAGGATTGCACTCCTTTGCTTCTATTCCCTTGATAGTCACTTTACTCCTAATTATGTATTTTTCTTGTTATTTTGTTTTAGGTGAGCTGACCTCTTTAAGTATTTCCTGTAGTACAAGCTTCGTAGTGGAGAATTCTCTCAATTTTTCTATGCTTGGAAAGGTCTTGATTTCTCCTTCATATCTAAAGGAGAGCTTAGCTGGATATATTACTTTAGGCTGGCAATTCCTTTCACTTAATAGTTTATCTATTTGGTTTCATTTCTTTCTGGCTTATAATGTCTGTGCTGAGAAGTCTGATGATAATCTAATGGCTTTTCCTTTATACATCCCTGGCTGCCTTGAGAATTTTATCTTTGTCATTGATTTTTGATAACTTTAATGCAATGTGTCTTGGTGTAGGCCTTTTGGGGTTGAGATAATTGAGTGTTCTGTTGACTTCTTGAATTCCAAACTCCAGCTCATTCCTTAGATTTGGGAAATTCTTGTCACCTATTTGTCTGAAAATGCTTTCTAGTCCCTACTGCTTTTCCTCGTCTTCGGTAATGCCCATTACTCTTATGTTTCCTCTCCTGATGATATCAGCTAGTTCTTGTATTTCTGTTTCATTATTTTTCATTCTTCAGTTTCTCTCTTCTTCCTTCTGATTTATTTCTAGATTTCTGCCTTTGATATCACTGATCCTTTCCTCCATTTGGTCAAATCTATTTCCCAAGCTTGCTATTTCATTTTTCAACTCTTGCTGTGTGTTCTTCATCTCCAGAATATCTATTCTGTTCTTCTTGAGGGTTTCAATCTCCTTGCTCTGCTCATCTACTTTTTTTTTTAATTCCTGAAATTGTTGACACGATTTGTTTTGGATCTCACTGAGTTTTCTCAGAAGTACCATCCTGAATTCTCTGTCATTTAAGTCGCATATTTCTATGTCTATGAGCCTATTTTCGGGAGGTTTTTCTCTTTCTTTCTGAGATGCCTTGTCACCTTGGTTGTTCATGGTGTTTAATGGACTATTTCTCTGCCTGGGCAATAATGGAAGTGTATTCTGTTGTTTTTCAAGAGAAATTTATTAAATAAAGGTCTCTCTTTAGTCTGCTGCAAAGAAGGAGCTTTTCTTTTGGTTTCCAGTAGGTGGCATCTAAGTTGCTTAGATCCCTAGTAGTTTCCAGAATATTTGCTCAGATTCTCCTGGGGGTCCCGGAGATCTGTCTCTGAAACTATGGGGTGAGGGGCCCTCCGGGTCGGGAGTAGGGGGCTGCAGCTCAGCCTTGGTTTTGCAACCAGGGACAGTAAAAATCAGCTGTTGTTTCTCTGTGGTCCCGCTTCTCTGCTTTCTGCCCTGATGACTGGGCCCTCTGGTCAGCTGCATACAAGCCCTGGCACTTCCAGGCAGGGTTGTTCAGGAAGTCGCTATGCCTTCACCGTTCCCCCTCCTCCTACAGGGAGCTCCGGAAGCTGGCAGCTTCTTTATTACTCCCAGTCCACTGCCGGACACCTAGGGTTCTGACCTGTGGTAGCTTGTCACCTCAGATGTGCTGGTGTGCAGTTTGGGCATTTTTTGCTGAGTTTTAGATGTTCAGCTTATTGTGGTTTCAAGTGGAGAGTCTAGGGACATCTCTCACTTTGCCATGTTTCCGCTGAATTTTCAAAATTTTTCCTTTTCCTTTTTTATATTTAAAATAGCAACAGTGAAAAATCTTTGTAACCAATCTGTTTTGTAACTTTTTATGTACAATTTTTTTTCAATTACACTTGACATTCAATTTAGCAGTTTTTTTTTTTCAGGTATATTGCATAGTGATTATGTATTTATATAATTTACAATGTGATCCCCTCAATAAGTTTGGTACCCACTTGGCACCATACATAGTTATTACAATATTATTGACAGTAAGATGAAATCTTTAAATAACTTAAATTGTAGGTTATCTTTCTGTGAACTGATAAAATTATCATAATTTAGGCCTTCTAGAGTTTTGTCACTCATAAACTGTTACTTATGAACAAATGTCTATGTTCAGACAAGAAAACCTCTTACGTAGAGAATGTTTCTCAGCTGAAAAGCTTTTTGAGGGCTTGCTTTATGTCCTTGTTTTTAAGACTGTAGATGAAGGGGTTCAGCATGGGTGTGACCACGGTGTACATCACTGAGGCTATGGCACTTTCCCTGGAGTTTTGTATAGCAGTGGAACTAAGATACACACCAAGGCCTGTCCCATAGAACAAGGAGACAACCAAGAAGTGAGACCCACAAGTGAAAAATGCTTTATACTTGCCCCCAGCTGATGAAATTCTCAAAATGGAGGATACTATCTTAGAGTAAGAGAAGAGGATAACAGTAAGAGGAATAACACCTATAATTACGGTTGCAAAATACATCACTGCATTATTGAGGAAGGTGTCAGAACAGGCAAGTTGGACCAGCTGATTAAGTTCACAGAAAAAGTGAGGGATCTCCAACTCTGCATGAAAAGACAGTCGTAAAACCATTAAGCTCTGTGTCAATGACTGCAGGGCAGTTATAATCCAGGATGCCATAAGCAGGAAGCCACAGAGCCGGCGGTTCATGATGACCGTATAGTGCAGGGGGTGACAGATGGCAACAAACCGGTCATAGGCCATCACAGTCAGGAGAAAGTCATCCAAATCTGCAAAAAGCATAAAAAAGTATATCTGTGTGATGCATCCTGCATAGGTAATGACTTTTCTCTGTGTCTGGATATTAAGCAGCATCTTTGGGATGGTGGTGGAGGTGAAACAGATGTCTGCAAAAGAGAGATTGGAGAGGAAGAAGTACATGGGTGTGTGGAGGTGGGAGTCAGTGATATAGGCTAAGATAATAAAAAGATTCCCAATGAATGTAACCAGATACATGGACAAAAATAGCCCAAAGAGAAGAGGCTGAAGTAATATCTCTTCTGAGAGTCCCAGGAGGATAAATTCTGAAACAAGTGTTTGGTTTTTTGATTCCATGGAGCCAATGAATCTGCTGGAAAAGAGACATAAGCAATGCAAATTTAACCACAAGCAATGTTGAAAGAAATTAATAGAAATATTCTTGTTTGTCGTTTTGCACACATTTAGTTAATGAACTTCTATGTTATGTATAGATCGATAGTTCTTTAGCTGAAAAATGAGGGAATCTCTAATGCCCCACCTTATATTAGATGCTATTGTTATCGAACTCAGGTTCAGCTGCTTGCTACCCATAACCAATAACTTGGGAGACGAGAGTTTGGTAGGAAGAAATCGGGTTTATTCGAGAGCCGGCATCCTGAGAGGACAGATGACTTCTGTCACAAAAGCTGTCCTGCCCCTTCACTGCAGGCAGGGGTTATTACAGGGAGAAGGCCTGGCAAAGGATAAGGGAGAAATTCCAAAGCCTCAGGAGAGGGCTGTATCCTGAAAGGGAGTGAGTGGCCAAGGCCATCTATCTTGTCTTCTGGCCTTGGCTTGTTTCTCAGGCTGCCTGGATGGGAGGTAAGTAAAACAGAAGAATTAACAAGGAGGAAGTGGGGAGCTCCTTTAAGGGTACCAGTCAGCCTGATGAATGTTCCTTCCACAGCCTGCTCTGATGAGCAACCTGGAGCAGCTGGTCAAGCGGAGATCTAGGGAGTACCTGGCAGTCAGTCTTTGGGCACCAAAGGGTCTGGAGACTATTAGCTCCTTTTGAAGTCTGTTTCTAGAGTTCTCTAGATAAACAGTCAAGCAAACTGTTTTCCTACAACTTAGACTTTAGTTGACAAGGTATTTTTATGTTCTTAAAATATGAGAATGAGATTGTAGCGACAGAAAGGAAAAAGATTTTTTTAAATGGTTACAATCATAAGACTAGAATAAAACTGCAACAATCACAGTTACAATCCCCACTGTAATCTCCTCATTTCCATTGGTATGGAAGTTTTGTTGGTCTACCAGTAGTGGACTCATGAGACAATAATTTATAATGAAATGCTCAACACTGCAGTAAGACATTGTGTTCAGTTCCTCTAGTTGGAGAAAGAGCTTTATGATGCATTTGCTTTCTAGTTGTCTAGGCCTGCCTATATAATTTAGTTATACTTATATGCTTACTTTGAACATTCCATAAGAGATTAATATTAACACTAATCCAGTTAACTCTATAATTTCTCCTAGGACAGGTTTTATTCCAGATGGTATCCAGGAAAATAAATCAGAAAACCAAGGGAGTAGGCATACAAAGGTGGAAAGACAGGGCAGAAAAAGTGAGTTATAATACTCTTATATTAGGTAAAGCCTGTTTGAATCAGGGAAAAAAGCTACATCAAAGAAATGAAGCCTGTGTGCAGTTAGTGTGGAGTTACAATTCCCTTTACCCAATCGCTGACTAGCCACCATAGCCCTCTGTCCACAGCATTTGTCTGAGGCAATTTCCACTACAAATTCTCTGAGACTTTCTTTGTTCATTCATCAAATATTTTTGACCAATCATTTTTTGGGAAGTATCATTGAAGTTCCTTGATATAGAAGTGAAGTTAATTTTTTAAAATATACTTGTCTTTGACAAGTTCTATTACAGCATATGTGTGTGTTGGGGTGGCAATAGAATATCAATAAATCAATAAACTATCTCATGTGATCATTATTATCATTAGTAAAATAATGCAAGGTACAGATAATATAGTATGAAGGAGAAAGGCTTCTTTCTTATGGTCACCTCTGATTAGGGCCTTTTAAGCAGATAATCTTAAAAGAATGAGGATGCAAGTCAAGCCTATATCTTTAGGAAGAGTATTTGGGGCAGAAAAATAGCCAGTTAATGACCTTGAGATAGAATTGCTGGCATCATCAGGAATAGCAAGGAAGAAGTGTGACTTGAATGGAAAAACACACAATGCAATGTACATATGATGTATTATTGAATCGTACACTTGTGAAACTTATATAATTTTATTGACCAATGTCACCCCAATAGATTTAATTTAAAAAGAAAGTAAATGTAATCAAAGTATACTTCTTAGCCTTCCAGTAAATAATGCATAGATTATCAATTTAATTTAAAAGCTATGATATGATTGGAGGGGATAATAGTAGAAGAGTATGCGTGTGTATGTAAGAGAACCGCACCTTCATCTGACATAATAAAGTTGATAGATAATCTCTAAAATTGATGGATCAAGAAGTAGGCAAATAGCATATTACTTAGAAATGGGAATAACTACCAGAAGAAGCAAATAAAAGTTATAAGTCGTTGCCTCTAGGAAGATGGTCTGGGAAGTAAGGAGGATGTGGGACTTAAGAATATTATCTTATCATTATAAGGATTCTATGGTTATTTAATTGTTTTAGCTATGTGTGTGTTACTAACATAAATTTAAAAATTTATAAAAGACAAAAATATTATGTCAAATCATTTGTTAAGAAGTCAATGTATGTTTCTGTTTAAATTTATTAATGATAGATGATTGGATAAAGAAGATGTGGTACATATATACAATGGAATATTACTCAGCCATTAGAAAAGACAAAATGCTGCCATTTGCAACAACATGGATGGATCCTGAGATTATGCTAAGTGAAATAAGTCAGAAAAAGTAGAGAACCATATGACTCCACTCAGATATGGGATATAAAACTGAAAGCAACAAACAAACAAGTCAAACAGACTCATGGACACAAACAGTTTAGTGGTTACCAGAGAAAAGGTTGGAGGGGGTGGGGGGGAAGTAAATAAGGGTAAAGGGGGTTAAATATATGGTAATGGAAAGAAATTTAACTTTGGGCTGTGCACACACAATGCAGTATACATATGATGTATTATTGAATTGTACACTTGAAAACTATTTTTATTAACCAATGTCATCCCAATACATTCAATTTAAAAAATAAAAATAAAAAATAAAATAAATTCATTAAATGTCCCTGGTCCTAGCACTCAGAATAAGAATCAATGACAAGTGTATATCATCAATAAACAAATTCAATTCCTTGCCAACTATTCCATTCTTGTGGGTTTGTGTATTTCTTGTTTACCTTCTGACTCAGATATTGATAAATAGGAATTATGTGTTGAGTAATTTAATTTATGTATATATGTCACATAATAAAAAATAAAAAAATAATTAATTGAAGAAAAAAAAACTTGGATCAAGGTTGTAGGTAAGATCAGAGAAAGAAAGAGAGGTTAGAACATTTTGCTTTTATTGAAAGCTACTAACACATGGAATCCTGTATTTGAGTTGCTGCTCTTACATGTATATGTATATGTATATTATATTACATTGTAATACATCATATCATAGAAAATCATATCTTATGTTATATTTATATAGTTGTATATATTATGTATAATGTATATAAAAATATGTGTCATCAGTCCATAAACTATACTCTCTATTGTTCAATTTTTCATTTCGCCTAAATTATGCATTTTGTTTTGGAATACAATTTCAGTTCAGTATATATGCTCAACCTCTGCCCCCTTTACTGATAACTCCTCCTATGTCTTTTGTATACACACATCCAATACAATGATAGTAGTATTGTGCACTCTTGCAAATAAGGCATAAGGATCGGCCTTTATAAGACATACTCTAATATGAGTGAATCATCTTTCTTCTCCCTTGAAAATTAAATTTTATAATTCAGATATTCCTATGAAGGTAGTCATAGAGAAGAGATAAAAGATTGCATAGAATTGAGAGAGGGAGAAATGAGGAATCAATGGAAACATTACAGTTTCTATGTATAGCCCCCATAATGCCCAGGAAAAAAAATAGTAATATCCAACCTTTATGACATAAAAGACTTATATTCTCACATCATCAAGATTTATTCATAAATACACAGCAAGAAAAAATGAAAATACATGTAGAAAATTAAAGATTTGAACACAAGGTTTCTAATTATTTTCTTTCAGTCTTATAATGATAAGAAATATTTTCATATATTAAAGTCTTTTAAAAACATTATTAATGAAAAGCTAGTAAATTCTATGAAATGTTTAAGGAAGAATCGATATTGATGCTCTACAATCTGCCAGAAAATAGAAATAGAAGTAACACTTTTTAACTCATTGAGCATTAGCCTAATAGCAAACCAGACAAAGACATTAAAAGAAAGGAAGACTAAAAAAACAATATCTCACATGAGCACATATGCAAAAATCTTCAGGAAAATGTTAGAAATCAAATTCAATATGCCTCACAACATGGACCCATAGAAATTTCACCGAGGTAGAAGGTCTCTGAATTTCTGGTAGATTTATTTCCCACCCTCTGGATTACAAATATCTTATCAATAAGCAGCTATGATTGCAGCATCTACAGTTGAAGTCATCAACTAGTTAAGCCTATGATAATCCACTCATTCTCCAAGATCTATCTGGTTTCTGCACAGGCCAAACAAGTGAGTTGGGTGGGGCCATGATGGGGATCACCACCGCTGCATCTTTAAATTCTTGATGATGATACTAATCTCTTCAATCCCTCTAGGAATGTGGTAGTGTTCTTGAATTACTATTTTCCTAGGTAGAGGCAGTTCTAGTGACTTCTACTTGGCCTTTCCCACCATAAAAACCCCAACTCCACAGGTCAGGAAACCAGTGTGGAGATTCTGCCAGCTGCTTAGCAAACTTATCCCAATTATGCATTCTGGAACTGGCACAATACCACAAGATGGGTCTGGGAATCCACTGGGATCACTGTGAGATGAAACTGAGCTAAAACTCCATTGACCACCTAACCTCCATCAGCCTCTACTCTGACTGGAGGGCCATCGTAACATTTTGGGTCTCTTAGAATTAGTGTCAGTTCAAAGCCAGTCTCCAGTAATCCCTGAAAGTTCTGATTATTTCCTTTTTCCCAATGCAGTTACCTTGGTAAAAGACTGAAGGTATATCCCATTGGGGAAAGCTAGGAAAAAGATTAACAGGATAAATATTTGGCAGTATACCACGGTCCTTCTTCAAGAGGAACCGCTCCCATTCATTCAAGAAGTTTGGGGTCTGTTAACTGGTTATAGAAATTGATTGA